CCCTCTGATGTTCCTGTGTGAATGCCTCATCTTTTCTCCCCCTCTGCAGTTCTGGAAACCTTTGCCCAGGCTGCAAATGTGAAGTTCCATTCTCCAGCATACGGGCAGCCTCACACTGCCTGTAACAGGGTGGAGGGTAATAAGGAGGGGAAATCCCTGCTCACCCACTCTAGCTCCCCACAGCTCCCTGTGGCCTGCAAGCAAGCAGTCAGCAGGGAGTGATTGGCCTGGCCCATAACCTAGCAACATGGAGAAACCCTGGAGAGCACTGAGAAGCTCCACAGCAGGGGTGAGACTCACCTGGGAGGTCTGACAGCTGGCAGCTGAATGCTGAGCATGCTGATTGGCAGCCTATAGAAGAGGGGTGGGGGGATAAAGACAGGCTGTTACCTAGAGGAAGGGGGTAAAGAGGTTATTAAGTAATGGAGGTTGTGGTGGGAGTGTAGGGGAAGGAGGAGCTCTTACACAGCATTGCTCTGCTACAGGTATGCAAATTGCTGCTTGCACATTTACAGTGCCACTGGACTAAAGAGAGTTTTTCTTCAAGCAAGGTAGCACTGAGTTTGGGACAAATCTGTTTTAGGGTCTCAGACACAGATGGTGGGGACTTCTCACTCTGAAGTCGAGCCTGCAATGCCACGCACGTGTTGGGAAGCGCATCAGCTGCGCTTGAACCTGGACAGAGGAGCACCGGGAGCTGGGAGTCTCGCTGCTGCCATCCATGACACCGTGACACCCCACACAAGGACCCTCCTGGAACGGTTCCTGAGGGACGCTGTCTGCAACAAGTACACCGGTGACCTGAGGGCCAAACCCAACCAGAGCAAGGTCTTTCATGTCACCTCAAGGTGGGACTCCAGCAACCACTTCGTGCCCAGCGAGAGCTTCAAGCATTTTGCAGACTGGCACTTCCTCCACCGTGCCTGCCTCAACTGTGTACCTCTGAACAGAGCCATCCACTATGGCTACTGGGACAAGAGGTGCTGGCAGTGCAGCTACAAGGCAGAGACTCTCCCCTACTTGCTGTGCACCTGCAAGCTGCATGCCAGAGCCTGGCAGCTTTGCCACAATGCTGTCCAGGACCGCCTGGTGAAAGCCATCCCAAATGCAGCAGGGGAGTTCTCCATAAACCACACCATCCTGGGCTGAGAGAGCCAGATGTGCCCCGACACGATCATTACCAATGAGGAGGCCAAGAATATTGCAATAGTGGACATGACCATCCCCTTCAAGAACCAGTGCCAAGCCTTCACCGACGCCTGGGCTTGCTAGTGGGAGGAATACGCCCCACTGGCTGACATCCTGAGGAACCGCAGCTACAATGTGATGGTCGCCACGCTCATCATGGGAGCGCTCGGAGCCTGGTTGGGCAGGTGGGATGGAGCTGTGGGCCAGCGTGGAGCAGGACAGATGGGTGTGGCTGGGATCATGGGGTGATGACAGTGTGGGGCTGGGGCCTGGGGCAGAGCTGTGATCCACTCCCTGCACAGCCCTGCAACCAGTGCTGCTTCCACGGGCAGGGGTGTGCTGGGAGCGGATCGCTATCTGCCCTGGGCCCTGGCTGCCCATACTGCTCCCGGACACTGCTCCCCACCTGCCTGCAGCCCCATCCCGAGTCAGACCAATGGCCATTTTTGGGGTCAGGAAGGAATTTTACCCCAGGGGAGGAGAGGGAGCCTGCCTCCAGTGGGGGTGTCCCTCTACCTGGGATCTTTTGGGGATGTATTAACAACCTGTTATAGAGGGAGGACATGGGCTGCCGGGTTCCCCTGCTTTACCCACGGCAGGACTGTGCTGTGGCAGGGCTGATGGTAGTTTAGCACAGGGGTTAGTTTATGGATTGGCAGGGAATGGTCTGGCTGGGGATGACCCCGCCTCAGACAGGGGTTAGACTAGATGACCTCTGGAGCTCCCTTCCAGCCCCACTCCTCTAGGAGTCTGGGAATTGTTTTCCCTTTTTCTAAGCCCATGTAATTCAGCCAGCCCGAGCGAAGTGCTGCGGATGCTCTCGCTTGGGTGTAGCTCGATTGGGAATATTTTTAACAAGTGAAATAAAAGCACTCCCCGAAACGAGGGGTGTTCGCGTGGGTTTAGTTAAACCAGTGCGGACTTCCCGGTGCTGCACGTGGGTGCTCCCCACTCTCACGGTACCGGAGCACCTCGCGCTCCTCCTCCTCCCGTCGCGGCCCCGCCCGTGGCCGAGGCGGAGCTCGGGTGCAGTTTCTGCCCACACCGCCCCGCGCTCCTGCCAAGCACCCCTCCCGTTGCCATGACGACAGGAGGACTCCGAATGGCACCCGAAAGCTGCCCCGCCCCTGCAGCGAGAGTCTGGCCCGGCGGAGCAGCGCCCCGCCCCCTGCCGGATCTGACGTGCCTGCAGGCTGGGCCGCGTAGGGCAGTGCAGTCAACCGCCGCGCCGGGATGGCGGACCTGGGCCGGCAGCTGCAGGAGTACCTGGCGCAGTCTAGAGCCGGCGGCGGCTCCGGGCCGGGCT